GCAGCCGCCTCCACCTCATCACCACCTGCTTCTCCGTCAACCGCCACCACCCCGACCGTTTCCTTCGCAATGGCCGCGGAATCTAGCATCAACATGACCTCCATCAACACCCAGTCCGTCGATAGCCTCCGTCGCAAACTTACTAGCAAACAGGCTGACGCCCAGAAGGCCCCCGCTGACTCTTCCACCCTCTTCTCGCTCATGACCTCCATGAAGGCCACCCTCAACTCCCTCCAAGTGTCCCTCTTCAGCCTTTCCAACCGGATAACAACCGTCGAACAACAACGGGCCCACCATCCAGGTCGTTACCACCATGGCCCCCTCCTCCACTTCGGGCTCCATCACCCTTCCCCCACCCTCCGCCTCCACATCTACCTCTATTACCTCCTCCTCCACTTTTACCGCTCTCTTTGCCAGCACGTCATCCACACCCCCGCCTTCATCCACCACCACTTCCACTATGGTCATCCCACCTCCCCCCTCGCCCGAGACGACAACCCTCGCCGTCACACAATCGTCGACTATCCCCCCCAATCACAGCCTCTCTTGACTTCGTCCACCATCACCTCCACCCCCCCCACCCATACCCTGATCACTCCCACGCCACAAGCTTTGTATCACGCTCTTCCACTACTTCCCCCAAACACTCTCATTCCTGCCAACCCCACCAACGATTTCACCCGGATCGCTTCTTCCTCCTCCACCCTTGATTTCAACGCCCTCGCCGCCAGTGCCCCCAAAGTCGGCAATATCCCTCCATCATTCCGCGCCAACGAGATCCCCACCTTTTCCGGCCAACCCCATAAGTATGTCTTGAAGTTCCTCTTTCTCACCAAACTCCAACAAGCCTTCTCCCTCCACAATGTTCCCGTGATCCACTGGCTTCCCATCGCCGGCACCAAACTCCTAGGCGGCGCCACTCGCTGGTGGTACACAGAAAAACTCCAACCGCCATCATGCCAATCTTCCACCTCACTCCTTCCTTGAGTGGGCCACCATGGTCACCTCCACCTTCTATTCACAGATAACGGTCGACGACTACCTCGACCAATTCTGCCGGCTCCACCAAAACGGGCCACCGACCGTTTTGTTCAATACGTCGGCTCGCTTCGTCAGCAAATCCCCATGGACATCATCAGCGACACCGCATTCATCTCCCACGTCAAGGGGGTATGCTGCAAGGACCTAGCGGCAGCCCTTGTCCACGAGCCCTCCATGACCCTCGCCGACCTCCTCACTCGTGCCCTCCAAATCGACCGCCTCCTCTCCCCTACAAGTCCACACTCACATCGGCCCCTTCCCGCCCTTGCTTCTTTCGCAACATCACCTCCGAAGACACCACCGCAACACTCACGGGTACTCTTCATGCCCAGATTTCTTTACAATTTACAACAAGCTTCGCGACCTCGACACCGTCCCCGACTACTCCCTCCACGGCAACCTGTTGCACATTAACACTAAAGGCACTCGCCAGCTCTATATCCCTGACGCACGTGGTCTTCGTATCCAACTCTTGCCCGAACAACACGACGCCAAGACCGCAGGACACCTTGGTTTCTAGAAGACATTCGACACCGTCTCTCGCTACTTCTACTGGCCCTCACTCCTTGTCGATGTCAAAGCATACATCCGCTCATGCCCCACTTGTCAAGCAGTCAACCCCTCAAACCAGGCCAAGCCAGGCAAGCTCCAGTCATTGCCTATCCCCACCCATCGGTGACAGTCCATCTCTATGAATTTTGTGTGCGGTCTCCCCAAGACCGACCGCGGCTATGACTGCATCTACGTCATTGTCTGCCGCTTGACCAAGCGGGCCCATTTCATCCCTTGCACCACTTTTCACAATGCCAAAGATGTCGCCACTTTCTTCTTGGATCATGTCGCACGCCATCACGGTCTCCTTGAAAACATCATCAGTGACCATGATCCTCGCTTCCTTTCCTAATTCTGGAAAAACCTATTCAAAGCCTACGACACCACTCTCAAGTACAACACTGCATTCCATTCCCAGACAGATGGCTAGACTGAAAAGATGAACGATACTCTCCAAAGGATCCTGCGGAAGTATTGCCATCCACACCAACACGGCTGGGATCAGTTGCTCACCGTCACCGAGATTGCCTAGAACAACGTTGTCTGCCCTTCCACTGGCATGTCCTCATACTACCTTGACCTTGGCTACCATCCCCGCTTGCCCTCAGACTTCTTGCTCATACCAGCTCAACCCATCCACTTCATGTCCTTCTCTGAATGAACGGGTTGCAACAATAAACCGCATCCTCAGAGAAGCTATTGACGCCCTTGAACAAACCCAACAACAACAATCCTGGACCAACAAGACCAACAAACACAGACGAGATATCACCTCCAAAGTAGGGGACAAAATATGACTCTCCGTCAAACGCTTTGAACCCGAACATAGCTTGTCCAAAAAACTCTCAAACAACTGGCTCGGTCCATTCCCCGTCATTGAACAAACATCCCCTGTAAACTACAAACTTCAACTACACCCATGAGCCGTGTTCACCCTATCTTCCGTGTCAAGTACTTAAAAAAATACCATGAATCACTTCCAGAATTCGCCGACTGCCTGTATCCTAGACCTCCACCAATCATGCTACCTCCTGGGCCTGAATTCGTGGTAGAATCTATCATATGACGAAGAACAACTCAAGTATCCGATCACTCGGAACCAATCACTGAATACAAAGTCAAATGGACCGGATGCCCAGATGAAGAATCTACATGGGAACCCCTCGATAATCTCAAGAACGCCATGAAACTTGTTCGTGCCCATGATGGTGCTCACCCTGTATCCTAGCTATATACTATGTATAACACCCATGCAATGACTTGCTGATTTCTATTGCCGAGATTGTCTGTGAGGCTGTACACTAACCTGTAGGGTTAGTTTTGCAATTTTGTTTGGCTGAGGGCTAACGGAGAGAACCGCCTGTGTGGAAATTCGTGAGGGACAGNGAGGCTGTACACTAACCTGTAGGGTTAGTTTTGCAATTTTGTTTGGCTGAGGGCTAACGGAGAGAACCGCCTGTGTGGAAATTCGTGAGGGACAGATCTGTAATTTTGGGAAAATACAGATGTGGTACTAACCGAGTTCCTACAGCTACCCTAACTGCCTATAGCAGGCCCGGGCTACCCCTAGGACAGACAGGCCCTAAGCGGCCTATACTGCTATACGGTCCTATAGCCTATAGCCGGGTCCGGTAGAGGCCGAGAGGCCGAAACAGMAACRGTACCGGTAGGTCCAGTCWGTCCGGTCTAGGTCTAGGCTAGTGTATAAGTCTAGTAGGGGGAATCGAGTGGGGACTTTTGGCATTTCATTTTCGCATGCAGGGTTTTGCGGCCAACCAAGTGAGCAGCGCTGAAGACCTACAGCGGCACCTGAGGTGTCAGCAGTCGTGAAGCAGCCATAGTCGCCTACCTGAGACAGCCATAGTTGGGGCTGTCCTCAGCGCATCTATCCCTGAGGGATATCTGCGTTGGTAGGACTACATCGGGGCTCTTCACTGAGTATATGTGGGTACTGCTGCTGCGGTAGCAGCCAGGCAGCCATAGCTGCCTTCTTCATCGTCATAGTGACTCATCGGCACTGGGGATTACCTCGCTGTTCATGATCTGCAGCTGGGTGTATGGCGCTGGCCTTTGGGAGGTTGTTTCAGTGCAGCCCTAGACTCTGAGAGTGTAGTAGTGAGTGGGGTGTGTGGTGCCTGAGTGGCGAGACACTGGGTTGAACTCTGAAACGATAATAGAGGTTAATTGCGTTGAGTTGGCTCATCATCTGGGTTACTTTCCACTTGTGATCTTCGCAGTGTCATTTTGTGATTGGTTGTTGGGAGTTTATCAGAGAGAGAGAGAACACTGTGCGTATTCTCCCCATCTGTGCATGGTTGCTATTCCGCTGTTTATCTCTGGTCTGTGTGCAGGTGGACTCTGTCTCTTCCTCCCCTTTCTCTCATGCATGTATGGGCGTGTGTGAGTGTGTCTNGCTATTCCGCTGTTTATCTCTGGTCTGTGTGCAGGTGGACTCTGTCTCTTCCTCCCCTTTCTCTCATGCATGTATGGGCGTGTGTGAGTGTGTCTGTGTGTGAGTGGCAATCGAATTGTCAAACAACCAAGTTCATAACAGTTGGTATCGGAGCGAAGATTGGACTTGGAGCCCAGAGGGTTGAGCGCAACAGGGGCACCTTCTTCATCTGGCCCTAACTGGCGAGAAGATCCATGGTGGTTCTCCATCTCCAGTGACTATCCAGCAGGGAAGAAGGAATACAAGCGGTGATTGCGGGAATATCAGTCTGCGATTGATCAGGCACCCTGAGTCTGTCTGAGTGCCTGACAGGAAGTGGCGAGAATAGGGTTATTTCGCCATCCACCCTCCTGACCTCAGTTGATGACTGGGTCTAGGGTGGCGAAAGTTACCCTAATTCAGTGAGTACTGGGTGGCGGCTTCAATCCCAGAATAGCGCTGAGGGAGGATTGGTCATAGGATCACCTCCTGCTAAATTAACCCTATTCAGGGCTAAATTTAGCATCAGCGGCTCATACCTGCAGTGGCGAGAAACCTTAAGGAGAGTTTTCTCTCGCCACTGAGCCAGATTCAGTGAATCTGAGGGTGTGGGGTGAATCGCCACATCATACTGGAGCAGATCATCAAGTTTCAGGAGATTCGGTACGTGGGAAGCTTTGGAGGACTGTCTGCAAGTGCTGGCGAGACCAGGGTTGGCAGGCATAGCCAAAGCTCCACCGTCCACTGAGGGTTATACTTCAAGTGAGTGTGTTCCATATGAATCCCTGAGTAGCGATTAGTATAGCATCAGTAGAAGTAGGATTGATGGTGTGTCTGTCAGTAGTGTAACAATCGTGAAATTGTCAGACTGCAAGACAGCCATATCCATCTTCTTCCTCCCTACCTTGACTCATATCTCTGCATCTATTGACCTGTTCTGACTCAAAATTGTTCTGGGACTGCTTGACAGTATTGCGCTGCATCCTGTATGTTCATTCTCGGAATTTTGTGCTGGAAAAGTAGTAATACTGTGGATTTGAGTTTTGCGCTGGGTCTATTTATAGTCTCGGCTACCTAGGGTCAGTCACAACTCTAAATCTGTCCGTCAGAATTCAAGTTTGTTCGTAAGTGCATGATTTTACTGGACATTCTGTCAGCTTGACTACTGACCCTAGTGGTCTAATTCCAACCCTAACCGCTTGTGCCTACTGACCCACATTGCTCTGTGAATTGACAGTGCAACGAATTTTGAGAGTTTGTGTGTACTGTAAATCGCTGCACCTCTTGCTGCTTTTACTTTGTTTGTTTTGTGTTCTGAGAAGGAAAATGTCAGAAACCGCTGACACAGGTGCAGGGCAGGTGGAGGTAGTAGTTAAGGATGAGGCCGAAGCCTCACCCTCAGCTCCACCTCCCCCTCCCCTGACCCCTTCGCAGCGGCGCAAGAGAGAGATTCAGGAAAAACTGCGAGAGCAACAGGCGCTGCTCGCAGAAGCAGAGAGACAAGAGGCTGCTGAGCTGGAAGCTGCAACAGATGCTTCCAGAAAAGAGCATCTGCTGCAGCAGGCTCATAAGACTTTTGCGGATGCCAAAGTGGCCCAGTGTACAAGGAACCTGGTTGAGCTGGTACTTTTGCAGGACAAACTTACAGCCAACCATTTCACAAACTGGGACGAGAGAATCCAGCGACTGGAGACCCGAGTGGCTGATCTGGGAACTCAGCAGTCAAAGATCCTGGATGCTATCCAGAATCTGACTGCTCAGTTAACAGCAGCCAACGTTATCAGTCCCCTGGTCCCCTGTCTGAAGCCCAAAAAGCCTTCTCAGTCTCCCTCTCCACCTCCTTCTCCACCTCCTAAGTCTCCTCATTCTTCACACAGATCTTCTCCCTCTGTCTCCTCCCAGGCCAAAGCCACACCTCCCACCTTTGCTACTGTTGTTGCTGGGGACCACAGAGGTCCCAAGATTCCTGCCCCCAGCAAATTCAAGGGGGATGACCCCAAGATTGATGTGGGGGACTGGACTGCTGGAACCCGGGCCTATCTGAAGGGGTTCCAGTGTCCAGAGCAGCAAAAGGTGGCTACCGTTGTGGGGCTGCTGGAGGGGCCTGCCCAGAAATGGGGTACCTCTACAACAAGTGCCCAGAGCCAGACTTTGGAGGATTGGGCATTGGCACTGGGGGCTGACAAGCTTTTGCAGGCCCTGGAAGACCGGTTTGCAGACGAAGAAAGAGTCTGCAAGGTTGTTGATAAAATTGTACGCCTGGTCCAGCAGCGTTACAGCGGTAGTCTGCAGGCCTTGTTTGCTGAATTTGAACAGCTAACTTCCACCCGTGGACTAGTTATGTCTGCAGATGACTTGCTGACTAACTTTTGCAGGGCTGTGCCTGAAAAGTTCTGTGTTGCTTTGTATAGCGCCGGTCATGAAGACAGGAGATCGTTTGGACGTGCAGTAGTGGACATGGAAGCCAAGATCCATGTCCAGGCCCCCTCCAGTGATAGGAGGAGAGGCGCCTTCCCTTGCGGTGGTAGAAAGGGAAAGGCGGCCTTTGCTTATGCGGGTTCTGGATCAGCCTCTGAGACAGGATCCCAGCCTGGTACACCGCCTGCTGGGACTGTTTCAGCTGCTGTTCCAGATGTTGCAGCAGTTGTCCAGCAGCTGCAGGATGCGCTGGGGGCCTTCCAAAAGGCCGGGTCTACCTCCAGCACAGCCTCCAACAGCAAGGGGAAGAGCCAGGGACGTCGCTCTTCAACCCCTGCCCAGCGCCCTAATCTGCCACGTGACGTCCATTTCCCAGCAGACCCCCTCAATCCCAACACCCTTCCCTGGCATGATTTGAAGATCCAGGAAGGGGTGTGGAGGAAGAGGAAGGAAAAGGGAGTCTGCTTGAGGTGTGAAGGACAACACTTTCTCAAGGACTGTCCTTACATGCCCAGTCCAGCTCAGTCAAAAAACTGAAGCTAAACCTGGAGACAGCAGTTCCCTCCAGTGTTGCAACTGCATCTGCAGCTGCAGCAGCTTCAGTTGAGACTTCTTCCTTCCCATCCAGTGTGGGAGCTGCGCGGGCAGCATCCTTTACCTATGAGGATCCTGACCCAGATCAGGAACCGGACCAGTCTGAGTGTCAGGCTCTTGCTGCTTTTTTCTTTCATCTGAAAGAACAAAAGCAGAACAAGTCTGATCTCATCCTGCTTCGGCCCCTGATCAACCATCGCAGGATCAAGGGGCTATTAAACTGCAGAACCACTCGCAACTTCATGTCTCCCAGTGCAGTCCAAAAGCTGCATCTGGCATGAAAGTGGTGCAGCTGCAGCAACCGCTGCAGGTCCGCATAGGGGACTCCACTGTTCTAACTATCAGGGAGAAGGTCAGGGGTATCCCTGTCACCTTCGACGGCGCTGGAGAAGTCAGACACAGTCTGAACTTCTACATCTTCCCTGATTTACCCTTTGATCTGGTTTTCTCCATGCAGTGGCTGAGAGCAGTCAACCCAAGGATAGACTGGCAGATCCCCAAGGTTGAGCTGCCAAACAGCAAGGGGGTGTATCAGCCTTGTATGATTGCAGCTGATCACCACCCTAAGACATCTTGCTTCTGCTTGAGAGCGAGAGAGTTTTATGCTCTCTCCCGCCAGTACGACCATGAGCGTTTGTTCATAGCTCTGGTCAAGCAGACAGACGCTCCTTCTACTCCCTGTCCTCCTGAGATACAGCAGGTTGTGGACCAGTACGCTGATCTGATGCAGGAGCCCTTTGGGTTACCCAACCGGCCAACCAAGCATCACATTGAGCTGCTGCCTGGAGCGGTCCCTCCCAAGGGCCGCATCTACAGGATGTCACCTGCTGAGCTTGAGGAGCTCAGGCGACAGCTTGAGACCCTGACCAGCAAAGGCTGGATCAGGCCCAACACTTCTGAATTCGGTGCTCCAGTCCTCTTTGTTCGAAAAGGGAGTGGTGAGTTCAGAATGTGCATAGACTACAGGGGTCTCAACAAGATTACTAGGAAGAGCACAGAGCCACTTCCTAGAATCGATGACCTGCTGGACATGGTCCAGGGCTGCACTATCTTCAGCAAAGTCGACCTCAAATCTGGCTATCACCAGATTGAGATGGCAGAGGAAGACGTCCACAAGACGGCCTTCAAAACCAGGTATGGTACTTATGAGTACCTGGTAATGCCATTTGGACTTTGCAATGCACCTCGCACATTCCAGACTGAGATGCACCGCATATTCAGGCCGTACCTGGATAAGTTTATGGTTGTCTACCTGGATGACATCCTGGTATTCAGCAAAACTACCAGGGAACATGCGGAGCACCTGGCTCTGGTTCTTCAGTCGTTACGTGACAGCCAGTACAAGATCAACAAAGAGAAGTCCTCTTTTGGAGTTCCCTCTGTGATCTATCTGGGTCATGTAATCTCTGGAGATTGACTGGCCCCTGAAGCAGCCAAGATTGCTGCTATTCAGGATTGGCCACAGCCCCAGACAGTGAGAGATGTCCGATCTTTCTTGGGTCTGGCCTCCTACTACAGAAAGTTCGTCAGGAACTTTTATGCAGTGGCTGCACCCCTGACTAACCTCACAAAGAAAGACACTCCCTTTCTTTGGTCCCTTCACTGTCAGTTGGCCTTTGCACGACTCAAACATGCCTTGACTCGTGCACCTGTTCTGAAGTTGCCTGACCCCACTTTGCCATTTGTGCCGACTACTGATGCTAGCCAGTATGTCGTTGGGGCAGTCCTTCAGCAGGATGATGGGAATGGTCTGAGACCTGTAGAGTTCATGAGTAAGAAGATGAAGACTCAGAAGCTTCATGACTCTACCTACGAGAAAGAGCTTTATCCTCTTGTCAGTGCCCTGAAACACTGGAAACACTTTCTCCTGGGCAGGCACTTCAAGATCTTTTCTGATCATTCCACTTTGCAGTGGTTGAAGTCTTAGGGAGAGTTAAATGATAAGTTGGCACGCTACATTCAGTTCATTGATCTATTTGACTTTGAACTGAAGCATAAGAAGGGCTGCTACAACAAAGTAGCTGATGCCCTCTCTCGTAGGCCTGACTCTTTTGCGCTGATCTCCTCTACTCATTCCTTTGGAGAGGAGGTCCGTCAGACCATTGCTCGTTTACTGCCTCAGGACCCGACTTATGGACCCATCGTCAGGAATCTGCAAGCAGATCCCAACTCTGAACCGGGCTATGTCCTGAGTTCAGATCTGCTGTATACTTACAGCAGAGGAGAGAAGCGCTTGTGCATCCCTGAGGATCAGCAGATGCGGACACTGCTGATGTCAGAGTGCCACGACGCACGTGGACACTTTGGGTTCCTAAAGTCGTATGCAGCCCTGTCGCAGCGCTTCTTCTGGAAGGAGATGCGGAGTGATATGCTGCGCTATGTGGACACCTATGAGCTCTTCCAAAGGAACAAGGTTCAACGTAAACCTCCTTTGGGATTGCTCAAACCCTTGCCCATACCTGATGGTCCTGCACAGTCTGTATCCATTGACTTTACAGACTTAGGCAAGACCACCCCTCGTGGCATGCGTCAGCTTATGGTCTGCGTGGACAGGTTTTCCAAGTACGCAGAGGTCATCCCCTTTCAAGAGGTAGCTAGGGTACCGGCTGTGAGAGCAGCCTTTTCTCAGAGGTGGGTCACGCACCATGGACCGCCCACCTCTATTGTCAGTGACCGAGACCCCAGATTTTGCAGCGATGAGTGCCAGTCCTACTGCAAGGACTATCTGCGCTCACGCCTGGACATGACTTCTGGTCGTCATCCTGAAGCCAATGGATTGGCTGAAGTGATGAACCAAGTCCTGTTCCAGTTGCTACGTCCTGTGATCTCTCCAGATCAGCAGGACTGGGATCTCCACTTGGCGAGGGCACAACTCATGTATAACATGTCTGTCCACTCCTCGACAGGGTTCAGTCCCTACCGACTACATTGGGGACGTGAGCCACGACARCCTCTCGATGATATCATCGACAAGGCTAAGCCTGACCTTACCCCAGGCACGACAGAGTTCACCAGACGCTATCGTCTGGATGTGGAAAGAGTCAGGGCGAACTTGTTCAAGGCCCAAAAGGCCATGATTGAACAAGCAAGCCGCCACAGGCGGCCTTCCCCCATCCGCACTGGTGACTATGTCTGGGTGGCCAGTTCTGAGTTGTCGAGGGAGGAGGATATTTCTCCCAAGCTGTTGCCGCGCTACCTGGGTCCGTGGCAGGTTCTAGATACAGTGGGCGCTGATCCCTTCGGTCCGTCATACGTCATTGACGTTCCGCTGCATCTACAAACCTATCCGGTCTTTCATGCATCTAAGCTGTTGCCTTTTACGCCAGCTGATGCATTCCCTGACCGACCCCCTCAATGGGGCCCACCAATCCCTGGTAAGGGATATGATGTGGTGGCCATTGAGGATGAGTGGGGCACAGGCCCCGACCGACAGTATCTTGTCAGGTTCGCTTTTCAGCCCCCTTCTGAGAACCGGTGGTTCTACAGAAGAGACCTGATCAAGACAGCAAAATCTGTTGTTTTGAGGTATGAGGCGGCTCAGAAGGGTGACCTTTGCCATTCACCTCGTCTGCACCCCTAGCTCGGAGGTCCTCGCTCCCGGGGAGGGTAAGCCTGCAATGACTTGCTGATTTCTGCTGCCGAGATTGTCTGCGAGGCTGTACACTAACCTGTAGGGTTAGTTTTGCAATTTTGTTTGGCTGAGGGCTAACGGAGAGAACCGCCTGTGTGGAAATTCGTGAGGGACAG